TATATATATATATATTAAAAGTTAAAATAATGATATTTTTATTATGAGATGAAAAATTTGGGTGGTAAAAACATAGAAAATAAAATTTAGATGTTAGACATACAGATACATAAGAATTGGTTGGTATGTGAGGCAATTCTTACGCATTTAATTATTTTTTGCATCCTGACACTCTTGTTCCCAAACTATGTTCAGGTTTCATATTCTTTATTAATATTCTTCTGCGGCATGTTCATCACTGTAGAAGGATTCAACAGAACAGGAATACCAAGTGTTTTTTGGAACTTCATGGAACCTCATGCAAGGATTAACCATGCAACTGGAATGGCTGTGCTCGCTCTTGTTGTGCTTCTCCTATCAAATGTTGCTTCCAATGTTCCTACTGGTAATTTGACTCACTTATATTTTTATTTTTCTATTGCACAATTATTAGTAGTAATGTTCCATTTGCAGGGATTATTTCATACACAACACTTGAACATTAGTATTCATCAAATTAGTATTAATGTGCTTTTAGTTGAGTATAAAATTACATATATAAAAACTCACCGGATAAATAATTGAAGTAACATGCCACTAAAAAAGTGGCCTTGACTGTGGATACTGCGTTCTTAATATAAACTTTAGAGAACTCTCACCTGACAACAAGCAAGCAGACCTTGGAACTTGTGTGATAGGCAAGAGCAGGTGCGCCATATTGAGTTAACATGATTAAGTTATAGCAAAAACTAAATAGAAGAATAGAGAGGATTCTGTAAGAACATTTAAGTATTAGGTATTATGTATTCTACTAACTGAAGGTGACATAGTAAATGGTATTTATAGGGAAGCTATAGTATCTTTCTGTTACGAAATGTTTTAGATGATTATCAGTATTCGGTTGGGATGAGCAGATGTGGAGACAAGGACCTACTGTTATTGTATATGCTGAAGAGTTTGGTGAATGATTTATTCTGTTTTATATCATTGCCATGCAAGATAATTTTCTGTCTTGGATTAATTGTGTGCTTAGAACGGAGATGGATGAGCTATGTTGAAGAGAGGAGTTTGGTAAATAGGTCTTCATAATTGATCTTGATTGTGATGTGTTAATATGATTTGAGATTTAATACAATCACATAT